CAAGCGAACCGAACGGTTCGGTTTTTTTTCATGAACCGTGCCATCCCTATCACTCACTCACTCACACTCACACACACACACACCCTTCTTGTAGCTGCGGCCGGCTACAGTCCCCTGCTCAATAACCCATCCTGCCACTGTGGTCATTTTGTACACGAACAAACAAAACATCAGCATCACGCACAAGGGTATATAGACAGACATTTATTTTTTTAAAACATGTATAGTTACAACCTGGGCATGGAAGATTCCAGTGAAGTGCATATCCACCCATTCTCTCGAAACAAACGCCACAAGAACAACATTCACATTCCCCAGATGTCACCTAAAATAAAATTAATAGAACCTAAAGTACTTCGGAAACGTGGCCATTTAACAACACGTATCACCCAGGTTAGACACGTCGCAGGACGGCACGTTCACAAAAACGCAACTCATGCCAAACGAAACAAGGTGTGCCATGTGCTCTGGGTGTCGCCCATGTGCATGCGTGTCTGTGCCCCAATTCCCCAGTGGGGGGCACGACTGCCAGCGTCAGTCTCAAGCCAAAGTTCCTCCAACTGTGGACGCAATGACAATCCCAAGAATCACACAGCATATAATGATCATGATTTTCTTCTGTGTAGTCAATTAAAACAAAAACATACCACACCAAAAATAATCCAGGCAGCATGGAAGAGAAAGAGAGAAACGCGTAGGTAAAAAGGTCACATGCACAGGATTACTCAAAAAGAGGCACACAGGTGAACAGAAGCTCTGACATGCTGAGGAGCTCCACTGTCAGTAGAACATCCCAGAAGGCTGAGATGATCCAGAGGAGCCATAGATGTCCAGTCCATATCAGAACAGGAGGGGTTTGGAGAAATTTATGGCAAGTGGAACCTTAGATAATAGTCAAGACCAAAGTCTAGATAGTAGATTTTTAAAATTTCTTTCAGCTGCAGAGCCAAACAAGCATCAGAACCACACCAATATTCTGATTGGAGTGGAGAGGACATTACAGGAACCAAAAGGCATGCAGGATCTCTTCGTGCAAGGGCAGGCAGGACAATTGACAGAGCGACCTCAGCCCAGTTCACAGCCAAGGTAGGAACAGGATTTCGGCTGTTGTGAAGCAGCCCACTCAGGGCAGGTACCATAACCGTCCATAGCTAAACTCCAGCGGCAGATTATCTGGCAGTTTCTGCACACTGGGCTGTAACATCCGTAGGTATTCAGTCCATCTGACAACTTACACACCCAACTGAAGTACTCAACACAACCACGGAGCTGATTTAGCCTCTTAGTCACTCCTGATGTTGTCGGTTTAATGACAGCTGGAGAACTGGACCATGCTGTGGGCCAGCAGGACCAGGGTTCAACTCAACTCTTTTGGTACAGCTTTTCGGACAAAGTGCCAAATGGGAGTGGGATTTTGGCAGAATTAGTCCAGGCATACCTCAGCCCTCACCGAGACACCAGCCAACCCTAGTTAATGTCAGTTCCTTACTTAAACACAGACTCACACTCCCGTAATTAAAAACCCGAAGCATTATTGTTGTGACGCAACCTGAACAAGACCCTGAAATGCAGCAAGCTGGCTTTCTGCTTTGGAGTGCCGTCCTGCGTCACCAGGGCCATAAGGGCTGAGTCTGGGGTCACAGCCCCACCGCTTGTCCAGAAGGCCATCCGTCCTAAGAATGCACATTCCCTGCAACTTGAGTATGCAGCGACGACCGCGGGGGTCTCTCTCGAATGACCACGTGCGGCAATCTCCTTTTTCTTCAGCTAAGTCCGGCGATCAGGGCGATAAGAAGAGTCAGAGTCACGGCCAGACAGGCCCCTATCAGGATCATCTTCTGTGGGAAAGGGGGGGGGGGACAGAGGGGCTGATTCAGAAAGTTCATTTTCTTAGATCTACAAGGTACTGTGGACGGACAGGAGGGCGGTCATCTTGGAGGGCTCGGGCCTCCTGGTGAAGAGGAGTTAGCGATGTAGTGGAACAGAGCGTTTGTGGGGAACAAGTGTTTAGGCTGAGGAGCGTAGTGTCTGGGGGATGCTACGTCTAGTGAAAATTACACAGATGGGACGGTTTAAACATCAGTGAGCCACCTAATTTTTAGGTAAGAAACACAGCTGTTCAGTGCAAGGTGCCACATCAGGACACCATGGAATTTCAAAAGACATATTAAACCACTTCCATGAATGGGTAACCGTTTCACTACAGCCAGCACAGGAAGATCATGGAGGATGGACCTGCCAACTCCGTCATATTACCACCTGTCTGGCTCAGTACCAAGAAAATTTATTTTTGTGGCTCGCAATACACAGGATCACCAGATGGGGGCAGCACTGTCCCATCACCAGCAGGATTCTCATCAAGCAGCAGACTGGGAGGGGGAAGAGTCACCTTTGTCAATATTTCAAGCAATCCAGTACCTCCAGACATACTGCAGTAGGGAGAGTCAGACAGCAGACCACATCTAGTCATCAGATTGTCTCCACCTTCAAGAAATGCCTCAAGACTCATCTGTTCCAAGAATTCTTCTACTAACCTGATGCCTATGTTACCTGAATGCTCTTGAACGTTCATTCCATTCAATGACCAGAAGTGTATTTGTTTCTTGCTTTCCTGGGAGATATTGTGTAGCTTTTGCTCTAGTGGTGCTTTTTCACTGCCACCAGGAACCGAGCCGTACTCCCAACTGGTTTTTTCCCATTGCAAAATATGCAAGCTGAACCCAACCTGTACCCGCGCTAACACAGCGCTGCTTACTAGCAGGGCTGAAAGCATGATCAAACTGGGGTGGTTGAAAGCACGGAGACACTGGTGTTCTCCACTTGGATTATCTGAAAGAAAATGTGTATATTCTATATATTTTTCATAATTAGTAGTATTGCATATCGCAATGTACTGATGCATTCCTGATAACTCAGAGCTTGAAAATTTCCAACTTCTACTTAATAAAGTACTATAGAACAGTTGAACAGAATGGATTTGTAATGCAAATTTACACAAGCGAGTGCTAATTCCGCTAGCATTTGATGTTAACATAACATAAAGCAATTCTCACAGATGTGCTAGCAGAAATTAGCACACAGTAAAAAAAAAAAAAAAAAAAACGAAACATTTGCACATAGTAAATCATGATGTACACTGCTGAAACAGTAACCAAGCACCTCTTCGGTTTTACATCATTGTTGCTCTCCAAACCCGCAACGCCTTTACTGAGCCGACTCCTGCTACAGTGGCAAACCAAAGCGTGCTGGAACTGTACTGTGACTAGGCTCTCTTCGTGGTACGGCTCGGTTCCTATATGCCAGTGGAAAAGCTCCACAATACTGCTTATCTTTTAACCGGGCATTCGTTGGAAGCTCAGCCTAGCTGCACTTATGCTTGGTTGACTCCTTGACAGTATGTATGTTTGTGATGTGTGATTTGCCTCACGTGTATGT